CAGTAGCAGCAGACTGAAATTCTTTATCCTTACATTTAATACTGTCTTTAGCTCCACATAGCTCTGTTTCACATTTAGCTCTGAAGAAAGGAAAAAAAGGAAAAACTGAATCCACATTGAAGAGTTATAGTCACATTAACCAGATATGTTCAATTACAGCACTTATCAAATCCCACTTTCACATCCAGTCCGTCTACAATTCAACAAAAACATATATCATCTCTTCCAGGGTGTTATTTAAATTCTGGTGCAAATCATTTAACACAGACCTCATACAATAACTGCACTTGAGAATGCTAATAAGACTCTCATAAGGGTATATTTTTATTGAATTGTAATAGAACCAGCTGTTGGATCTAAATTCTGAAAAGTATTCATGGCTAGTTGAAATTGAGCTCTATCAGTTGGTAAAACAAATATCAAGATAACTTCACTATTAATGATTAATGAAATCAGTTGGTTTTTCAGCCTATAGAAAATTTACGTATTATTCTTACAGTTTTTGAACGAGTTGCAAGTTTTCATCTCCTAGTAATTTGATTTTATTTCTTAGTTCAACAGATTCCTCTTCTAAATTCTTTTTTTCCTGCAGCCTTAGTCTCTGTGACTGAAAAATAGAAGATTAAATATTCTGCTTACCCTATTGGAACACCTGATGACACCCAACAATTGGGGAGGCCAAATAAGCAATTTGGAGTCCACATTGTTCATAATATTTGTTTGCCAATTTGGATGTGTACGCTCAGAATCCATGTTGGAGAATCGAAATAAATTATCAGCTTGACATCTTTTTCAGAGAGTCCACAGGCATTAATGTACCTTCATTGTGGAAATTTATCTCACCTCCTGTTCCTGAGATTGCAATTTTTTAAATTCATCTTTTTCATTAGTTAATCTAAACAAACATTCTCTTAAGTCTTCATTTTCTTTCTCTAATTTATTTGTTTTGAGCTAGAAAAGAAATGAATAAAGTATTTTCTTTGTCAAATTCTATCTTCGGCTTGTCAACATAGACACTTGCTTGTCAACAAAGGAAAGAGGTTTTCAGATAATACCTTCGGATTTTTCAACCTGGTTTTCCCCTGTCAGTGATGTAGGTAAGAGGGGCTGACATGGAAAAAGCGTCTAGTTGTTTGGATGGGACAATAAACCTAGGCTGTGCACGTTAAAGATCCCTCGACAGTTGGAAATCGAAAAAGAGAGGCTTGTGCTGTGTCCTGGCAAAATTTCCCTCATTGCACCCTGCATGGCTTTGCCGGTCTTCATTAGCCCACACGATGCAGAAAAATAGGACATAAAACTCATTTAATTTTAAGGAAATTTTTACTCATAGCACACTGCACGGCATTACCTGTCTTCATTCCAATACCAAACATAAAAGTTTAATGTACTCTTTATCATTTCTTACAGTAAGATACAATATTCAAAAAGATAACAGATTTATTATTTAAAAGCCAAGATTTTTTATGGAAATTTATACCTTATGTTCATCCATTAAGATTTTTGTTTCATCAAGCTGGTTAATCAAGTCATCATATTGTAGTCTCAATTTATCAAGGTCACTTGTCATAACTTGTCGTTCTGTTTCTTTGGTTTGCAATAAATCTTTCAATTTCACTGGAAATACAAATCACAAAGTCAATGCTAATAATTAGAAATAAACAGAGCATTTGATTGGTTAATATTATGAACACAACTATAATAACCATTTATTTAGATCTTGAATAGGTGAAGTAGGCCAAAGTCAAAAGGTTCGTAATTTCAAACAGATTTGCACGAAATTCAGGTTTTGCTGTTCTTTTGTCTTTTTAAAAAGATTGTAAAGAGATTTTCTAGAATTTTGATGTGTATCAGGGACAATGATAGCATCAATTTGCACCTTTCAAATTTTCTAGACAATGCCTTTAAGGAGTGACAAAAACTGTTTCCTAACAGCATATGACTGAATAAGGGACTGATTTACCTTGTTCTTGATTTAAAGCTGAATTTGCATTTTGTTTTTCTTGTCTTAAATATTGTTCCTGAGCTAATTCTGACGTCAATCGACTAACTTCTGTTCTTAGATTACTACAAGCACTGTTGATGGATCCAACCTAAAAAGAAAGACATTAATCTCATATATATATACTCAAACTGTACATTTTCCTGTGATTGCCAGAAACTGTCTATAAGTGTGCAATCAGGCAAATTTTACCAGAACAACAGTAGCAATGCCTTAACTAATCTTAATATAATTTTTCATAACATCAGGCAATTGCTGTCCCTGTGAGCTCTTTTGACTTACATCTCTGATACACATATGATAGTAATGATACACCTACAAAATTTACAATCCCTTTCTTGCCACTCAAGCGCAAAAGCAGTCTAGGTTACGTATCTAGAACACGTTGAAAGCAGGCAAAAAAATTGGACCCAGTCTACCTTATCTCTGGACCACATTTCCGTTCAGCCTACCTCTCGTCTCTCCTTTTCTACCACATTTTCCATCTCTTTCATTCTTCCAATCATAGAATTATGTGACTCCTCTAAACTGGCTCGTAAACTTTTCTCTCTCAGTAATTCATCTTTCAGTTCAGATATCCTACGATTAAGTTTCTGTTTGGTTGAAACTATATCATCAACTGTAAGGGTGGCTTCAGCCTGTAAAATTAAAATCTTCTTGGATGATCTACAAGTGAATCAGGCAAATTTGCAGAATTGATGCACAAATTTTATTTAGATATTTAAATGATAATGATAAAACACAGATGAGTTTCAACTTTTGTTAGCTAGTTGTCTTGTCTACCATCTTTGCCAGTGACACTCTACATTGATTTTGGGTAAGGGAAAGGACTTTATGAATGGTAGAGTTAAATTATTATATTTTTTGATGGAGGGAGTTTACTTGCCTTAGATTTAAAAGCCTCTTCCAAATCCAATTTGAGTTGTCTTATTTCTTCTTTATCTACATTTCTGAGTTCAATTTCACTGACTAAGTCACTTTTGGTGGCTTTCAGCTGACGATTTAATTTAGAAATTTCACTTTCATAGCTCTGTTTTATTGCTTGCATTTTTTCCTCCACCTCTTCATGTACTCTCTTTTGCAAATCCTTATTTCCATGCACGTTCAGCAACCCAAGCTTCATAGTCTGAATAGCACTTTCAGTCCGACAAACTCGAGACACCAGTGCCTCATAATTACTTTGCAAGATATCTGCATCTGCCAATCTAGCTTTAAAGGGAGATAACCTGCCTTCAGGATCAGCAACTGGTTGTGGGCTGAATCCCAAGTCATTTAGAGTATCAATGAGTTGCTGTGTATCTTTCTCAGCAGCATTAAGTCTGTTTTCTAACACTTGTACTGTCTGATGACTAGGTGATAGCGGTGCCAATGGTGGAATCACTGGTTTGGACATATTCCTGATTTTTAACTCCCAAAATTAGATTTCAAGGAAAATGATGGCTCACTGATTTACAAAGATACAGTCATTGAAACTCCATTATTGTCAGTTGAAATTAGGACTAGTTATAAATTCAATTAAAAAATTGCAATCACTATCAACCCTTTTCAAACGGTTTCCATTTGGATGTAGCTTTTTTACCTTAAAGAATAAGAAATCAGTGTTGATATGATATGAGAAATAGTGGTGGTCTTGTTTGTTTTAAGAGCTGTAGTCCACATAGCCACCAACAATTCTTTGGCATATTATTTGCACCTCGTGGAAAGTGACAGTGTCATCACAATGAACATAATAGTATAAAATTTTACTAAAAAGTTGGCAATATAAAACTTTAAAGGCTCTATCCCTGGGGTAAATTTGACGAACAAAAAATGACCGATCCTATCCTGGCCACATATTCTAGAAACAATCTTAGTGCTAGCATGTCCTAGAATCAATGTTAGAAGATAAGAACCTAGGACATCCTTGAGCTAAGATCGTTTCGAGAATATGTAGCCAGTATGCTACAAATATAAACCGACAAAGGCAGTACCGGTATATTTGTGCAATGTTTCAGCAGCAAGCTCAGTATAATCACCATTGATCACCTCAAGAATCAAATGTCACTTAGAAAGACAGTGCCATTAAGTGAGTACAGCTCATTTGGAGTATTTTGACAGTTCACTTATATTTACCCTTGCCTTTTTCTTACTTTCACTTTCTTCTCAACTGGTGATCAAAGGGGTCTTACTAGATCTAACTGTCCACTTTCTATAGCATCGTTTAAGACACCGTAAAAGATGAACCCTAATGATCCTAAAACAATAGGAGAAAAAAATTATAAGGCTGAAACTTGCCTCTGCTTGTTTTGCATTCCGCAGAATATTTTGATTGGTTGACTCTTCAACGTTGAAAACCACAAAGAGTTCTTCAACATTAAAAAATACGGATTGGTTACAGGATTGGAATAGGAACTTTGCATAACTTTCTTATTTTCTTAAAAAAAAATAATAATAATACAATTCGTGGTATTATTTCCATTCTTTACTCAAAATGATAACATTTAGTCAGTTTATTCTGAAAGTTTTTGCAAGATACGTTTAAATGATCTAATCAAATTCATGTTGGGGAGAAGTCTTTATTCTAAATTATATCATGGATTTTTCATGCTCTTTGTATCACAAAAATGGCAGTTTTCCCACTATTAACTCATCGAAAAACTTAAAATTATATGCATAATTTGAAAAAAATGTAAAAATTCGAGTGACCCATTGAAAAAAGCGTCTGCTAGGTCATGTATGTCTGGATAATCTAAACAGGAAATGCCACAATTTCCCGCTATTTTTAGTTTGTTGATGATGGCGTGTAAAGTTGTGATTTTGGAATATACAACAAATGGTTGTATTCTACTAGAAGTCAGATTTTCTTGAAAATTAAATACAAATTATGTTTCATTTAGATGTTATGTTTGGTATGAATGTTCTAATCACAGCCAAATAATAGATTTCTGGTTTGATACCTCACTTAATAATTCTAAATCCAAACCAAGTTTTAGGCGTTTATGTTTCTTTAAATTTCTGTCAAAATGGCGACTGCAATGTACTTAGAACATTATTTAGACAGTTTAGAATCCCTTCCAGGTGAGCTACAAAGAAATTTCAATCTCATGCGAGACTTGGATCAGAGAACCCAAGATCTATTGAAAGAAATCGACGGGCTAACCACTGATTATATGACAAATGTAAAGACTTTGCCTTCAGAAAAGAGGAGGGAAAAGTTGAAGGGAATTGATGGATTATTCAGTAAAAGTAAAGAGTATGGGGATGACAAAGTGCAACTGGCAATGCAAACTTATGAACTTGTTGACAAACACATCAGAAAATTAGATGCAGATCTTGCCAGATTTGAAGCAGAATTAAAGGACAAAAATTCCAATAAAACAGGAGATTCTGACAAGCACAAAGACAAACTCAAAGACAAGAAAAAGCGCAAAAATTTGAAAGAGGAATTTGAAGACGAAATTCCCAAAAAGAAGAAAAAGAAGGGTCAAGCGGTGGTGGAAGAACCAGAGCCTATGATGCCAATATTTCCACTCTCGATCACCCACCCTTCAGACGTGTTGGACATGCCTGTCGATCCAAATGAACCCACTTATTGCTTATGTCATCAAGTTTCTTATGGTGAAATGATAGGATGTGATAACCCGGACTGTCCAATTGAATGGTTTCATTTTGCATGTGTCGGTTTGAATGCCAAACCAAAAGGAAAATGGTTTTGCCCAAGATGCTCAGAGGAAAGAAAGAAAAAATAGTGTTTATTATTCATAATCTCAAAATACAAAACACAAATACTGTTAATTTTATCCCATAATGACATTTTATATTTTGTTTTGCCAGTGTAGCACTCTGATTTGACTTGCTACCGTATTTTTATTTGCGATGACCAGATAAGTTGTTTGTAGTCAACTCAGCATTTTACCAAAATTGATCCAAATTTGTTAAAAACGGCCCCCAAAAAGGGTCAAAATGGAAATGCAAGTTATCTTTAAGTGCTGAACTAGCAAATTGAAAGTCTATTTTTGTGTTTTAAAATGATCATTTTAATCTCTTGTTTGTGATAGCAATTGTGATGAGTAAGATATAGAGCTGGAACAATATTATGCATCACGATATTACTATCGTGATACATACATATGATAATAATCATGGAAAATGGAAAAAAAGAAAGTGACATTCATTCCACTCTAATTGAAATTAAACCAAACTTTCATTCTGTATTTTTTATTAGGTTTTATTTGTAACATAGCCACTTCAATTTGGGTCAAAATACGGCCTCTTGAAGGTTTGCCTCAATAACCTTTTGACCTTAACTGTTGACCTCTGCTTTTGACCAATCAAATTTCAAGATATTTGATGTTTGCTACTGTTTTTATTCTGGATACCCAATTGTTACATTTGTTAATTGTTTAATTAGATGTTTCTCACAGTATTTTCCTTCCATGTAAATCTATTTTGTTAGTGATGTGATAAACTTAATTAGTGGTGTCAGAATTACAGTAACCATGGAAACCATGGAGATTGGAATGGAGCAAATAGATGCTTTAAATGTCCTTGATAAGCATTAAGTGCAAAAATAAATCATTTAAGAAACTGTTAAGAGATCTCTTCGTGTCATTTTAGATCCCTTTTATTTGCACCTTTCTAATTTTCTGTCAGCTACCTGTAATTATAGAAACGGTTAACTGTATTTGACGCTGCTATCTTATGCTTATATAATATCGAAGCGCCTTGGCAATATCAAATATTTCAATATGGACATTATTTACCATTGCTATTGGAAAGTGAATTAATATTGACTAAATCATTTCATATTTTATTCAAATCTGTGTATATAAAAAGTTGTTTTAAACCTGTTGAAATTTTAAATGTTATCTGTAAATATTCTGTTGCATTATGTGTTGACATTAAAATTAGAATTTTTTCTTCTTTTTGTTGGAGCCATGGCTTGTTGAGGTTTAGAGAGGATTGCTTGCTTACCCCTGATCCAGGGTTTAAGTGCATAGCATTGCTCAACTTCCTTACACAATAAGGTGCCTAAACCACCATTTCAAGTATATGTCCATTATGTTTTATGATGTCTTTTAGGTTGTAGAGTCAGTTCAAATGCCTAGCCTTTGATCCAGCAGACTGCTATTCTCACCATGCAATTCTTAACACATCAAAGACTGGATGAAGGGATAGATATTGAAACTGTATAACAAACCTGTCAGATATGATCCTGTTAAATAAATACCAATGATTAAAATTTTTCAAACAAACTGGATAAGTGAGAATTCATTTATTAACAATGAACAAACAAAACAGGTTTATAAAAATTTGATTTCAAGATTTGAGTGAAGAATATAAAGGTAAAAAGTCCTCTAAATATAGGCTATCTCACATATTTCAGATATAGATCGAAATAAGGTAGCATATATTTGCATGAACCCTTTAAATTTACAAAGGTAGATGATTGGTTAAAAACCAACAAAATGAAATGAGTAACTCAAAACAAAACATAAAAGGGGATTGTAAAGAGGTTTTCTACAAAATTTTATGTGTATCGGGGACACTGATAACATCAATTTTCAGTCAGACAACAGTTGTTCCTGCAATTCCTCTAAAACTGTTTGATGACGTCACTAATCGTTAAATATGCTTTAACACATAAGGACCTTCGCGATGAGTGACATCATCAAATACTTAGTTTTAGTGGAATACCAGGAACCACAGAGGTCTGATTGAAAAATAGAATGGTGCAAATTGATGCAATCAGTGTCCTGGATATAAATAAAATAAGTTTAATAGATAACCTCTTAATAATCCCTTTAAGGTTAAAAGCCAACAAAAATGACATGAGCAACTTGCAAAACACAAACTAATGATAATGAAGTACAACTACATGAAGTTAATGTAAAACTGAAGATGATTCAAACACAAGCAGTCCACTTCATTTTGAGGTACTTTAAATCGTAACAATAAATAAAACATGAAAAGTTCAATCAATAGATTTCTCAGTTCATACTTGAGAAAGATCCAGATCGGCATTAAATAAAAATCGTGCCACTTTTTTTTTGGGATACCAGTACAACAAATAGTCAAAAAATTTTACAGGCTAGACTTAAATTGTGTTCATTTCTACTTAAATATGAAATTGATTGGGGCGATAACTTGTCTTCTAACAACCAAAAAATTCCTCTTTCTAAGACTACAGCATGTTTGGTTGAAAAAATGGCTTACTTTTCACTTTAAAGCAATGCATTCATCTGATTGGATTACAAAACAAAATTCACTGACATCATCTTAAAAAAAACAAAACAATTTGAAAATAATCTGAAGGTTATATTCGGATTGTGAACATGGATGTGCACAAATTATTTTGTAAAATAAAACAAATTACAACAGAAATTATTAACAAATATATAAAAAAACTTTCAAACAAAATTATACATCTCACATTTTCACAAAATAATAATCAATAAAATATTTTCACACATGGTGCACAATACATCATATAAAAACAACAGCTACGCATAAGCTGGGAAAGAAATTTTATCTGGGCTTTTACACATGAAAATTTTTCTAACATGGACAATATTTAAAGGGATTGTAAAAAAGTTTTCTACATTTTTTATGTGTATCGGGGACACTAAAAGCATCAATTTGCATCATTCCAATTTTCAATCAGACGTTTTTGGTTCCTAAAATTCCGTGAACACTATTACAGATTGGCTAAGATTTATAACTTTCTAAGACTGAAGTATGATTGGTCAAAAAATGGCACACCAGTCCCTTTAAATAAAACAGTTGAATTTTCATCCCTTCAACTTTGTTCAAGATATTAAAAATATACTCTATGTGGTACACTCACTTTATGGACAGCACCATCTGTCATATTTTCCGCTTTGGCTTTTTCTTGATCGAATTTGGTCCAGAATATTTTATCTTTCCCGGAATACGCTTCATCAAAGTCAAACGCTAGACCTAAAATCACATTTAATGCCGACATGTCATACCAATGGCATCCCGTGTACCGAAACTTTGGTTTCCTTTGGTAGTTACACCCGGAATTTTGAGCACCCATTGGGTTTATACATTCTTCAACCAGAGCACATTTTACCCACGGCAGCATCACGTTCTCATGAATTTTGTCTGTGTTTACAAGTATGATATGACTGGTTTGCACGGCATGGTGAAAAAAATACTTCTTTTGATCAGTTTTAAAATAGTCAAACATTTTGGGATGAGTTAGGGAAGATGTAGCATCTTCAATAGTCCAGGCTACTAAACCTTCTGTTTTAGCTTGTTTCATAGTATTGTCTATATCACTTGACGCAAACAGTTCACTCGTGTCTGCCCATATCACAGTACCAAACTCTTTCAACAACAGCTGAAATATCAAATTGTAAATACAGTTATGACAGTTTCGTCGTCTATCATTTTAAAGATGGGTTCCCTTATTTTCATTTATGAAAATGAAAATGCTAACACTTATATGAATAGAAAGTAGAGTTGCTCTAATGACTTGACCTCACCAGGCAGCTATCTGCTTACTACACTTGCCTCTCGAGGAAGATTTTGGGGATTTTTAATATTTTACATCAAGGGTAAGATATATACCCTCAACTCATACACCTTTCATAAATGATGATACAATAAATACTGACCTGAATACAGATTGGTTTATAACTTTTATTGGCAAAATCTGAGATATGAGAAGGATATTGATCAAAATTGAATTTTCTTATTTCACAATGTTTCGTTTCATTGCGACAATTGGCTTTGATCTGAAAATATAGTTAAAAATAATTTGATTTGAACGCCTGTATTTAGCAAATAAACTCTCCTAAAGACCTATTGAATTGATAAGAAAAGCATATGTTAGGGAGAACCAATTAGAGATTGGAGAGAACTCAAAAAGATGTGATGTAAAGGAAATCATTTTGCATTAATTTGTGTTGGGGACAATTCAAACTTCTAGTTCTTCATAGATTTTCATTCCAACATCTGATTCCCTTTTAGATCAAGCTTCAAACAGTAAGCTCTGGAATTTTAGCAAATCTTCAGGATCATATAGTCCAGCTAATGACAATCAGTCCATGGCTTCTTTTTTTCTGTATGCACAATAAAACATAAAAAAAACTTACACTAAGAGTTTGTTTATCTGCTTTTGACAACCCCATGTCAAATAACACTAACTTCAGATTTGGAACGTATTCTTGGGCAGATTTTAAAAACAGAATTGTATTTTCAGTGTCTGCAGGCATCAACGCGCTACCAATCACCACAATGTCATTCTTTGGTTTACTTTCAGAGTCAAATCCCAGCAGATCCAGATATTTCTTGTCAACTTCCAAATCGGGGGATTTTGACATCTGCATGTGTTTTGGTATTTTACGAATGTTGTTCTGAGTCGTGGACATGATATTTCGAAAGGTGGGCGACGGATAACTCACAAGCCATAATGCAACGCTCGTGACAGATATCAGCAAAACCAATATATAAAAGTTTTTCGTCTTCATTTGTTCAATGGCTGAATGAATTAGACCCTTCATTGACTTCACTAAAGCACAACCATGTTTTTCAAGATTTGGTAAACAATTTCTTTCCTGACACCAACAGATAACATCAGCAGATGCACTACCCAAGGTCATTTATAAACAGGCATCAATTAAAGCTGAAATTAAAGCAACAACAGCCAGTTAATTCCTTGAAATAGGCCCCTAACTGACAAAATGGCTTCCCACCATGTCGTCAAATAGCAACATTCATTGACTTTGTCACTAAGAAATTTTAGATTAGCCATATTTGTGAAAGTGTGCGAAACCATTAATACCATTTCTCGTAGAAATTTAAAAAATAGGTCTATCTTTCTTGCGCTTATTAACCACGTTTTAGATTTTAAGCTACCATTCTGTCATTCGAATCTGCTTGATCTGTCTACTAAAAAATGGCACAATTCTCTCTTATCTAATCCTTTCCTAGGCTACAAGCTGTCAAAATCATAAGAGAAGGTAGATTCCTTATTGACTAACATTAACATAACATACATACAGTAATAACAGGGGCAATTTAGGCAGTAGGCCTACACAGGGTCACAGTCAGGTGCATTCGGTACTTACTCGAGGGCTTGCAGCATCGAAGCAAAAGACTCCTCATCCAATCACTAAGAAAGTTGACTATAATATAGGCAATCTTACAAGTTAAAATACAATTTAGATTGCATAATTATCTCACCTAAATGACGAATAAGCTAAATAAATAATATAAAAAAAATACACTGAAGCTTTCATTTTCAGGGGAAATCACTCTTCTTTGTTTGTGTAGTCACCGATTTCCAGTGAGATTTTGACAAGTCATGTGACTATCACGTGATGATGAAATTCGTCTGCTTTTTACGATCGTTTTGGTCAATAAAGTCTTAGTAAAGATTCCTTGTGATTATGCTTAATGTCAACAGTCTGTTGTAAGCTTTATGATAAGATTAGACCCCATTTCGACAATAATTTCCATGACTATCCTTGCAGTTTGTAACAGTCACTAAGTTTAGGCCTAGATCTTAAATTAAATTAAAAAGAATCAAAGCTGCTTGATGTTGATGCAGGCCCGTAGCTATAGCCCAGGGTCTAATGGAGGGGGGTGGGGGCTCAACTATAGCGACTCAACAAGTCATTTCAGTCATCTAAATTTTGCAGGAGGGAGGGGGGGGGGCGGCAAATTTTCTTTAAGGGACGGGGCGGGGCCTGTGTTGATGGGCTCCGATTCGGGCGATTGCGCTCCTTCCTTGACTCCTTTTTCCTTTAGTCCTTTACTTTAAAACCGTGATATCTAACAATACATATCCACCTATCTCTTGCGAAAGATTTTTGGTCCTTAATTATCACTCCATTATTTTTATACAATGAGGGAATATAGCTTAATGTTTTCGCGACCTGTTTAGGCAAATATCACATCACACTCACAGTATAGCATCAAAGTAAACTGTCTTTTTTCCATTCGAACAGCATAACGGGATAAAATAATACTACATATCAAGTTTAAAGACCTGTCAGCTAGAAATCCATTAGAATTACAGTTATGGAGGATGAAAGGTCGAGTCTCCGTTGTAAATATAAAGGAATCTTTGGGAGTCCAGAAGAACCATTTTTCAATGATAAGAATTATGGAGTAGCCCCTGATATTCTGAAAGAATGGTTAATAGAATTAAATCTTAGAAATAAAGAAGTTATCGAGAATGCTGATTTAAAACAGGTAGCCTAAACAACTTTACGATGCACTTGAGAACCTTTGATTGGCCGAATTATGAAATGATCTAGAACACGAGCTTCACTGCAATTTCACCAGATCATGGATGGCTGTGAATGTCATTGCAAAATTATGCTTTTTATTCAGTTTGCTTTGTCATGTCCAGGCAGAGACAGCTGCTTGTCCTAAGGAAAACCATTGGTGAAAGTGTTAACTAGAATCCAACTAACGTAAGGAAATTTTCAAGATTCTGTTTTATGTACTTTTAGGATTATTTCTACCATTCCGATGCAATCTGTTTTATATTTAAAACGTGTGAAAACTTTAAACTACAAAATAATGTAAAATACCACGCAGCTGAATTATTCGAGAGGTAAGGTCCCTTCTGATCGTTGGTTGGTAGGTGACAAGTTAGATCTGGTCGGGTCGAATGACATGGTGGTGAAACTCGGCCCTGGATGGTGTGGCTTGAGTTACTCGGTCTTCCGAACTCGTTCTGATCATGGTATTTCTTGTTTATTGGTAGTCGAATGGTAGTCGTCGGTTTGGTTTGGTTTGATTATCTAATTGGAAAACTAGAAGACCTGAAAGAAAAAGAAAAAAGAGGAAGCGAGAAAAAGGGAGAGGAAAAAGGGGGGGGGGGGGGGCTAAGCTTTCAACAAAAGGGCAAGGATGTTCTCTGATGTTTCTGCAATGAAACTTGTTAAATTGATTGGATCTAATCAAAAAGTGTTAAGAAACTTTGAGTATAAAACTTAGCCTATCTGTTCAAGACAGATTTGGTTATAAAATGGAAGACTAATTCCATTATCGTATACCAGTGGTCCGTGGGTGCAGCCAAGACTTTCTGTTTAATGAGGACATGCGGCCTTGTGGCAACGTGGGTCATTCTATGGAAGGATCAAATGCCCATAATATATACCGGTATTTCAGATTTATGCTTAAACACGTTCAAGATCTATACGAGCATCTACGAACCACAGAACCTAAAAATAAACTGTTGAAATGGGAGGAAATATTGGCCAGGATACAGAATCAAGCCTTGCTACGTCTTGTGTCCTGTTGTCAGATTTCAAGTAAAATGGTTTCCCATTATAAGGTAAGTGTCTATAATCCCAAAGCCAAAATTCTTGTCCAATCCCAGCAGTTCATACCACATTCGTTGGTCCGAGTTGTCCTGATACTGATAGCATTCTTGCCAAAAATTAGAAAAAGCATGTCCCTTGCTCTCCCGAGATATATTTATTTAGGACTTTAGTTTTTGTCCAATTTCAGTATATATCAGTGTCCAAGGCGAGAAATTTTCTACGAGGTATCAACCTAAAATACTCGTCCACCAGTATCTTGAATTCTGAAATAAGAATTCTGAAGACATTAGATTATAATGTGATGTCAACTACGCCCATAATTTATCTGGAGACTATTTTAGAAATCATTGGTAACTTTGGATTTTCATTACTTTAAAACTGGAGAAACACGTAGGAGTAAGACCAAAATCAAATGTTTCGTCTTTGCTCATCATAAGCACCATAAAGAGCTTTAGAGAAGGGCACAGTCGGAAACAAATTGAGCAAGACTGCTGCCTCACCCGTACTTCAATTCAAAGTCTCCAGCCCATGGTGCAGGGAAACGCACTTTCTTTAGTATGGGTACATAAAACGGAAGAGAAACGGTTGGTCTTCACAACGTTTGACCCATAAGTAACATCTTGGTAAGAATGAGGTTTTTTCGGTCTTTACGAAACTGCATTTAATTCTACCTTTAGCTAAGGAACATGATTGCGCTGACCGCGATAACGGGAATCTTGATTATATGCCTTATTACATTACATCTAGGTTATAATGAACCCAGTCTGAACGTCAAACCATACCATGCAGTATCTATGAAGGTGATGGATGTAGTGTATTTGAAGAAACGGGAGATATACGAAGAGTTATTCCTGGTTATTACCAGACATTTGACTCCAACCTTCCCAGAGATGTAAGAACTTGCGTCTTTCCGTAATTTATATCAAGCTCAAGGGACAATTTGAGCCTGGAATCCAAACAATTCGATTTACAATTGTAAATATGAATGCCAAGTAGGGCAACGGAACTGTCAAGAGGTGCATGCTCACAGCACCAGATAGACCAGAATGTCTGGGGGCAAAGCTGGGCCATCGTCAGTTCTTTGTGCATGCCGAAAGACGATAAATGGGTTATCGTGACTGATTTTAATCTTTGTTTTTGGTACAGGCAATCTTTCTATAAAGTGAAAACAGACCAGATACTGTTGGCTATATCAGTATTAGCCGCAGCAGTTTACATTGCAGATCGACCGAGCACAGACATGGTAGGTCTTTCGAATCGGCGTCTTTAGCATCTGAAGTTACTACTGTTGATCACAGATGACGAACTTTGGGAATTATGTGTACTCATCGTCATTTGAATCAGTGTCTGTAGAACCTCGTAGTAGTTACTACTGTTGACCGTAGAAGACAAACTTTGGCAAATATGTTTACTCGTCGTGAATCACCAGCGTTTTTAGTGTGTTTAGCATCTGTAGGTATTTCTGTTGACCGTAGACTAGATTTGGGAGACATATTTGTACTAGTTGAGACCCTTTTAAACATCGGCGTCTTTACAGTCTCTTGCATCTGTAAATACCACTGTTGACCGGAGATGACTACTCGTACAGGTGTTTTGAATCATCAGCGTCTTTAGCATCTTCAACACATGTAGTTACTACCATTGGTGTAGAAGACTTGCTTAGGGAAACATTTCTACTCGTAGAGGTCTTAGAATCTGGGTCTTGGACAAGCACCCAGAAGCTAATCTAAACAAATTTGTAATCATTGCAGGTGATACAGCAACTTCATATGATCACCAAACGTACCAGTGACGATATTTTAGATTTTGCAACTGTGATAGTCCAGTCGGTTATGGAGGGCGGAGGTGATATGCCAAATGTCAAGTAGGCTTTGTGAGCACAAAACTAACATAAACATGTGATCAAATTGTGGCTTCCCAATACATGTATGTACCAGTACCATCATTTTCTAGATATCCACAATGATACGCCCGCTTCCAATAAACATTTGTGGCTTTCAAAAGTTAAGATATGACAGATTTCACAAAGACAAAAGGCTTCCACAAGACTTTGAAGACCAGGAAGGTGGAAGTTTCATGGATCACCATAAAATAGATTCTGTTGCACAAGTGCAGAACACATGATAGAATATTTATTATTCTATGCTTCAATTGTTAATAAATATAGATAATTTATTTTTATTTAAGATCTACATGTACTTGTAAGATATAAAGCTTCTGTGATACAGGTCTTGTTGTTTTATTTTCAATGCTTCTTCAAATAACTTCTGTCTTTGAATCCCCCAAATCTTAATCATACAGATAATGAATGGTAAATTATCACATTCACTAACTACAGCAGTGCAGCAACAGTGATGCAAGCACATCAAATGAGTCTGATGAGTCAAATTTTTCGTAACAGTGATGTAAATATATTGATTTAGGTCCCTGGTTCCCAACCTGGGGTGTTTTCTCCCCCTGTGGGTGTGGGACTAGGGTGTCATGAGTGTGGCCAATTGGTGTAGGAGAAGAATTTATTTTGAGTTGAGAGAGCACCTCACATCATCACATGATGAAAATCTGGGTGAAACAATTTTTTAGGGTGCGAAAGGTCCACGTGATTTCTCCAGGGGTGTGAAGGCTGAAATAGGTTGGGAACCACAGATTTCGGTGTCAAATTACTGTAACCATTATCGGACTATATTGATTGGTTTATGTGTCAAATTGCAGTAACATTGATGGGAATACATTGGTTTATGTGTCAAATTGCAGTAACATTATTGGGGATACATTGGTTTAGGAGTCAAATTGCAGTAACATTGATGGGAATACATTGGTTTATGTGTCAAATTGCAGTAACATTGATGGGGATACATTGGTTCAGGAGTCAAATTGCAGTAACATTGATGGGATACATTGGTTTATGTGTCAAATTGCAGTAACATTGATGGGAATACATTGGTTCAGGAGTCAAATTGCAGTAACATTGATGGGATACATTGGTTTATGTGTCAAATTGCAGTAACATTGATGGGCATACATTGGTTCAGAAGTCAAATTGCAGTAACATTGATGGGATACATTGGTTTATGTGTCAATTTGCAGTGACATTGATGGGGA